GAGGTTCTTGTTGTAAATCTTTTTGGAACCAGAATAAAATCCTCATGTGGAAAATAATGTCTCCTGAGATTTTTTGAAGTCAGCTCCTGACTGGGGGAGCTTGAGGCAAGCTCTGGGGTAGGGCAGTGTCATTAAACCCTTTGCTTTCAGTCTTGTGAAGACACCAGGATCTTTCCTGGGAAGTATAAAAACTTCCAACTCTACAAACACTTCTTGTTTGTTGCAGCCCGCACAACAAAGGTGACACAACAGCACAGAGCAGCAGCCAAAACAAAACAGGAGTGGAAAACAGTGACAACACTTTATCAGGTAGTAATTGTCAAATCAGGGCCTGCTTGCTGCACACACACACACACACACACACGTGGGTTTACAAGTTTGCTGTAGTTTAATTTACTCTTGGGCATAGCTTGGGAGTGTTTCCAGAATAAAGCCTTTTGGTGCAGCAGATAGCTTGGGAAAGGGTTTGCCTCTGGGGGAAGGAAACAGTTTCAATCCCTCCTGTGTCTCTTGGAGGAATTTTTAATTTTAAAGCATTGATGATTATGCTAATTAGTGCTTACCCTCAAATGCCAGTGGAATATAAATGTTGATAGTAGCTAAAACATACTGCAAATGTGCAGCAAAGTCTTCCTCTGGAGAGTCATCTGCGTTCATGATAGCTCAGCTGGGAAGAAGCAGCGTTCTTCACATGGAAAAGAAAAGTAACTGCCTCTTCAATCCATGTCATCCCAAGGTGGCACTTCTAGACTCCTCTGGATAGACATGAATCAACTGTTACTTTATCAGTTGGGCACACTTTTCTGGGATATGCATTAAAATGTCCAATTTAGCTCTCAGGTAAACAGGAACCTTTCCCTTTGATCAGGATTATGAGCAACATAGTCCAAGGACTGCACAGATAGGTGGGTTTCAGTGGATCAAAATGACTTAGAACTTGGTAATCCAACCCCTGACCTTTTCCCCTGGAATCACAGACTCCTGTACAGCTCACTTAAATCTACTGACAATAAAATGGTTTCTGCAGATCTCCTCAAAGCAGTGCACAGAACCCCAAGGATTCGTGGCCCATAGATTGAAAAGAGTCCTAGAAAAACACAATGCCTGTGCTTATTTTTCTGAAGATCATTCATTAGATTTCCCGTCAGCGCTGTCATAGGATGAAATCTTGGCCCCAGCTGAACTCAACAGGAATTTTGCCACTGACTTGAATGGAGCTAAAATGTCACTCCTGCTATTTGTCAAGTCAATTATATCCAGACAATACTTTAACATCTGGCTTCAAGTGAACACAGAGAACAGTTCACTCCCTCAGTCTCTGAAGACAAGGCAGGACATTGGCCATCTCCATAAAAATGAAACATTTGCTCTTGGCAAGCTGCTGCAATAGAGAGGGGATCCCTCCAGCGGCACTATCAGAACCCCATCCCTGTTCCTTAGCCTATAGTTATTGGCAATGGCATCAATTGATTCTCTGTCACTTTCTGGGAAGAATTTCAAAAGCACCCATCTACTGTTGCAAGTCATTCTGTTGTAAAAACTTTGTTTAGAACAGCAGATCTGGCCTCATCTGTGGTTTCCCACAGACAAGGGGGGTTTTCACCCTGTTCATCTTCCATTTCCCAAAGCACTGGAATGTTCCTTGTTGGGTCAGGGAGGAGCTTTTCTATCTAAACCCTTCCCTGAATATGGTGGTCAAAGGTAAAGATGAAGGATAACTGATTGAAGAAGAACAGCTGGTATGAGGTTGTTTCCCTCTCTAAAAACCCACCTGAGACAAGGCAATACTAATTTATTGCAAAATATCCAGGTGAGGCCAACGACAAGTGGGGCACACCTTTTCCTGGCAGAAAACAATAAAGCTATGGGAGTATTTGATCAGTGGTGACTTTAAAAATCTATTTAAATGGGAAGAATCAGAGAATCGTGGGATGGTTTGGGTTGGAAGGGACCTTAAAGATCATCCAGTTCCAACCCCTGCAATGGGCAGGGACACCTTGCAGTGGACCAGGTTGCTCCACATCCTGTCCAACCTGGTCTTGAACACTGCCAGGGATAGGGCAGCCACAGCTTCTCTGGATATCTCTGGGCATCCACAACTTCTCTGAATCATTGAATGATGTCTGGAAAAACAGGGATGTACAAAGAGAGAGGCTTTTATGCATCAGGTGGACAAGGGTTAGGGTTCTTGTTCCCAGCTCCCAGTACTGGTGAGTTGCTGCACTGCTCACCCGTGCAAAACCAGCTTCCCTTGGTCTCATTCCGTCCCCTGGGAAGCAAAACCAAACTCAGCCTCCAGTATCTGATGAGCCTTAATTCCCAGCACTTAAATAATTAGCTTCTCAAATGTACGAAAACAACTCTCATTTTCTGGATTAATGAAGGGAGCTGGGTTCCACTGAGCACAGCTATTATGGAGCTGCTAATGCAGCGTTTGATTCCATCGCCTGCCACTGAGCACAGAGCGCTCCGGGCTCCTGGGAGAGCGGGAACACAGGGAGAGCAACGCTGGAGGGTCACAGGGGAAGGCAGCGGGGGAAACCCTGGCAGTACCTCGTGGGTTTGTGCAGAGGGAGGGCTGGGTTTATTTCTACGGCTGCTGAGTTTCATCTGGGTTTGTGAAGATGCCACATAACCCAAAGGAAGGCTAAAGCTCAGGGAGGCACTAAGGGTGGGTAGTTTGCTTTAATCACAGGCCGGGCGAAGGCAGTTTCTGTAGGAGAGTAACAGAAATGTAACACACACAGAAGCCTAAACCCCAGGTAGCCACACAGCAGCTTCTGCCCAGGTGCTGTAGCCAGAGCAAATGGCAAAGAGCTGGAAGGCTACAGAGTGTTTTTGTCCTCCCTGCTCATTTGGCTTAGGAGCTGGTAGGAAACTGGTTGCAAAAAGTCAGTCTTGCCTCATCTTGGCAGGTACAGGCATATAAACCCATCAAAACAAACTTCTGTTCTTTCTTTTGTATCTCAGCACAGGACTGGCAATTTCGTTTTTCCCAAGGGGATGGTGGAGGGACTGAGCAAATGTCAGAAGGGACTGCAAAGGCTGCTTTGCTCTGCCCTGGGAGATTTAAACTGAGGCCACATTATACGAACAACTCAATGCTATTAGGACTGTTCCCCTTCCGTCTCTGTATCACTGTTTTGCTGCCTTCCCCCAGACTGTTTCACCCAGGCAGAACCAAAAGCCCACACTGAACCTCTCTGTTCTACACCAAATGGGGGACAGAGCATAATTAGGAGATCAGGGATTTTGAGATGTAACTGCAGGCATTCAACAAAGTCATGCAGCTTCTCGGACAACTGGAGAAGAAAAGGCCTGGATGTTGATTTCCTGAGATTGTTCAACCATCAAAAAGCCTTTCAGTATGTGTCATTCTCCCCCATCCATTAGTACATCCAAATTAGTGGTCCTGCAGTTCTGGTATGGATTTGGAGCTAAATATCTTCTTACACTGAAGTTCTTCTCCAACAATACGCCCTCGAGTACCTAACATCTGTCACAGCTGCAAACCAAACCACACAAAAACTTTTGACCTCTGTGAGAAAAGCCTGGAATTGTAAGGGAAGTCCTGGGTTAATCAAGAACCTTGGTGCAGACATGCAGCAGGAATTGAGAGATCAAGAAGGAAATCCATGGAATTGTGATGGTTTTTGCAGCAAAGTTTGTCTTTGTAGCCCAGCTCTCAGAGCCAGGGACCAGGGACACAAGGGATGCTCAAGAACTTCGGCACCTTCCCAAACCAGGGGCAGTTTTCTAGAGGTGGCCACTGAAAATTAAGCCTCTTTGAAAATGCAGGGATGCTGCTTCTTATGTCAGGGCTTGTTGGGCTGCTGACTTCAGAGGAGTTACACCCCGTGTAATTTGGCTGAAGCAATCAGGAAATAATTATTACAGTGGAGAGTTAAAAGATGGTAATTAAACTGTATAAATAAATAACAGAAGTGACTAAAAAAGTCCACCCAAAGCCTACTTTTGGAGCACTATTTAATGTAAATGAATCACTTAGTGGACAATGCAACAATCATCTGTTCAGCTTCTATTCATTATCAGAAACAATACAGAAGGATTGGCAGGGAATAGCCTTGTGCCAGAGGGAGCCCTTTAGGAAATACCACAGAATCTGGACTGGCTTTTGTCTGTTCTTCTATTGTGTTCTGACAATGCTTTGCTAATGAATGTCCAACGTCATGTCAGTTGTCTTTTTCTTTTTTTTTCCCCCCAAAACCAAATCAGGGGTAATCTTGGCCTTCCAGGCTTGCTTGTTCCTGTTGGGAAGACTTCCACACATTATGCATCAGTTTTGCCAAGGTCCAAGAGGCTGAGGATGTTATCTCAAGTCCCCTGGGAAATCCCACTGTAGGTGATGAGACAAAATCCTTTGATTTGGGCAAAAAGCCATTAAGTTTTAAAGAAATCATCACCTATCTCTGAAACATGCAGTACTTGAGTGAGTTGTATACTCAGTAAATTCATCTTTTGTTACTCAATTTGCAAGGACAATAACCTCATTCTGAGAAATAAGCTACTTTTCCATTGGGAGTCTTTACTCCCAGCGTTATCATGGGAGTTATCTGCAGGAAACTGCAGGCTAAAGGGAATCCTCATTAGGGATCTGGGGAACTAAACCTACCAGGCTGACACCTATGCCAGTGCCAACAGAAGTAAGAATATATCAAGCACTAAAATACTGTCATTATGCCTCAGAATCGATGATCCACTGGCATTCACATCTCTTTAAGAGTTTGGAATATCTCAAACTTCAAACATGAAGGTGTAGCAGATACCCAGAGGGGTTCTCTTTCTTACCTGGTTCCCTGGCTCACTCCTATGTTGCTGCTGCAACTTTCAGCTCCTGCAGCGTTGCTGGTTCAACTCTGTGCAGCCCTGCAGTGTAAAATCACTGAAAACAGTCTGAGCTAAAAAAAAAAGGGCAACAATGATACACATAAGAGAATAAACAGGCTTTGCTGTTGAGAAAGTGCATTTGGAATGGCACACAGACTTGACTTCTCAAGGTTGTCTCTGGGGTTATTTTATTTAGTATTAAAGAAAATCTTCGGCTCTGCAGCAAATCTCTGCAGCCAGAGATGATTTCTGTCAAATCCAGAGTATGTGGGTTTCTAGTTAACGCTGTCTAAAATTTGAGATAGAAATGCACACTTCATAAAATCTTGCTCTGAGCTCAGTCTTGCAAATAAAACAGACAGAGATGGCATCAAACCCCCCAGGGCTTAGGCTTGCAAAATCCCCACCAAGTTCACTGCAGGCTTGGTGAGAAATTTGGGAGTTTTACTCACAGCATGAACTCAGAATGCCACTGGAGGTGGGACTCGAGGGCTGACAGCCCCTCCGGGGACTATTTCTGATATTACTATTTCCAGCTTCTTCCTGTCCTTCATCTGGAGATCATTACTGCTGGAACAGGGGCTGCAGAATGGGTGGCACATCTTCTCCGTGTCACCACGATGCTCAGAATAGCAAAGGAACCTGAAATAGTTGGTGGTTTAGATTAATACTCTGGGCTGTGAGTGGTGATGCACAGTCCAGCTGCCACCTCGGGGACAGGACTGAGACCTCTGGGGCAGCAACATCTGAAATCAGTCCGCCTGGAACTGCCACAGCTCTTTGGGGGACACCATTAGTATCACAACTACATCAAGACACATTGTTCTTGGTACCTACTAGCTCGAGCTGCCATGTAGAGTGGTGAAAATGGGTGGTTATAACACCCTAAAACTGCAATCCTGCATGTTGCTCTTTCACTAAAAAAAAGTTTATCACTGGCCAGGGGTTGGGCAAGGAGGGAAAACTACTGAGGTTCTGATAAACAATAGTTCGTTTCGCAAGATTGTTGCCACCATTTGCACTAATTGACACTTTTTCTTAGCAATCTCTGTTAAAAGACAAAAGACCTCAAGATCTTCTTTTGGAAGAAAAAAAACCCCTGACTATGTTAATGCCCGGTATATTAAAAGCATAATTCTAATATTGGGATACACTGGGAAGAAACTGGAGTAATTACCTCCCTTTGTTTAATAAACTTCCTCTAAAAGATCCCCAAAAAATGTATTCAGTAAAATTCTCTTCCTCCCTGCTCTGGTATAGAATTTTTTTTTTGTTAGTCCCTCGAGTAGTTGCCTAAGTCAAGTCTCACTGTAATTACACACCTCGCAGCAGTGCGGGAGACTTAATTAAGAGAGTCACTGTAGGTGTGTTGTCAGACAGACAGAGCCCAGTGCTGCTGGAGGAGGCACCGGGGTCCAGCTGCAGTGGGCTCGTTTGGGAAGAAAATCCAAGTTTGCAGAGGATTTTGAGATCTTCCTGCAAACAGCAGCGTGGACACACCCAGCAGCTTCTATTCAAAGCCCCTCAACTCCATCATCAGGGAGTCTGTGGTTTTAAAAATCTCTCTGTACTCACCAGGAGACGCTCTGCCACACGGCAAGATTTCAGATTCTCTCTTCCCCTCCTCCCAAAAGTGTGACTCACCAGTTTCAAACGGTGACATTTCATTCCCAAACTATTCCGGGAGCATCTGGCTCCACAACACATGGGAATGTGGGGAGAAGGGAGGAGGGGAGGGAGAGCCAGCTCGCACAGTGAAAACCACTCATTCTCTCCCCCACACAGGTATGTTGCTTTTAAATTTCAGAACCACATAATTTGGGACACGCTGGCAAATTCCATCGGAGGAAAACAATAAAACAAGCACATTTCAGGGGGGAAAAAAAATACCTTTACGAGCCAGCGATGCAATTCCCTGTCAGCCAGGAAGGACTGGGAGAGGGGTTTGCTCTCCAGATGGAATAGATGTGAGGAAATGTCCTGTCCCCACTTCTTATTCTCCATCCCTGCTGCTCTGGGCGAATTTCTGTGTGATGCAGACCCGGGGTTTAGTCACCACCGATACCTTACTAATGATGAACAAATGTACGTGCAGTGGGACGACGACAACACGGGGGTGACAAATAAATCACTGTCAGCTCCCGGTCCCGAGAGGAGTTTCGTGTCACACCGCAGCTCAGCACCTCTCCTGTCCCTGCTCTGGGGACGTCACTCCCATGAGCACAGCATTCCACACGTGAGGGGCGGGATGCTGCGGGCACCGGCCCTGGCAGCGCACACATGGAATCGCTGCCACTGGGGCAGTGCCAGGGGCAGGAGCGAAATCCCTCCTGGCCTCAGAGTGTGAATCTGTGCACGGCTGATGGGGTGGGAGCAGCGATCCGGCCCCATTCATTAATGTTTGTAAAATTCCACTGGGAGGGAGATGGGCGCGATGGGAGTGTCGGGGTGGCTGCTGGCAGCCTGCGAGGGCACTGGGAACCCCAGCCTGGCACTGAGGTACAGGGACCAGCAGCCTGGCACCGGGGAACTGGGATCACCAGGCTGCAGGGACAAACCTCGGCGAGTGCCGAGGGGTGAGAGCCTCAGGGAGCCGTGGAAGGGGCCCAGCACCTGGTTATCCCATGTGTGGGCCGGGTTGGGATGCTGGGAACAGGCTGTCACGGCTGATGGCAGCACAGCCCTTCCCCGTGCATGTCTGCACAGGAAATGTTTGATTACAGTTTCATTCATCTCCTCTGCTGCCGTTCTAAAAGGGGAGGCTGTTCCTGTGGACTTTGGGACCTCGTGCTTGCAGATCCAATCTTATTCCCATTCTTTCCTTGGGGGAGCCCCACCGAAATCAGTGCTCGTTCAAGGAAGAGGAGGCTGGCTCCCTGTTCGATCCTGGCATGCAGCAGCAAATGACCTTGGCTAGGTAACCATCCCCTGAATACAAAGATGGATATAAAAGCAGCAATTCCCTTTTTAAAAACCAACCAGTCTTCTGCTAAGGTAGGGAAAGGCAGTGGTTTTTTTCCCAGCTTCCCTAAATGCCCTTCACCAGCAGAGAGGGGGAGGGGACCTGCTCTTTGAAGCCTTTTCCTTATGGGAATAGAAAACACGGAAAGAATTCAATTCTCTGCCACAGCCCAGCAGCACTGATCCAGGCTTCAAACCCCAAAGCCCAGGAGCCCAGCGGGCTGGTGGGTGCCTGGAGCCTGCAGCACCACAGATTAGCTTGGTTCGATATCCAGCATCATTAAGTGTCCCCCGTGGTGTTAAACACAGAAAGGAGAGGGAAAGGAATGGAGACTGGGGAAGAAAAATTAGGAAATTCTGTGCAGAAAGAACTGCGTTTATCCAAATCTTTGATCAAAGCACCATCTAGTGAAGAACATGCTCCTTGCAGCTGGCAGCGCTCTGGGCAGCTGCACCAACATTTGCCTTTCACCACAGGTTTGCTTCTAAAAAACCCAAATATCACCCAAATATGCACAGCCCGCGCTGGATCCGAACGAACAAGAACATGCCCCAAAGCTGCTGCCCTCTGCGTAAATATTTCTCCAGCGGAAATGTGTTCCCCTCCTCCCATCATCTCCCATCGCCCCACTGAAACCCGCAGGGAACCGGGCACCACAGGAAGAGAATGATTTCCATGTTGTAGTTTGGGAGCTAAGGAAAAGAAAAGGTAAGTGAGCAGTCCAAGGTCGTGCAGGAAGCCAGAGGCAGATCCGGGAATAGAGATCAGCCACCCTGGACCCAGGGATGCCTGAACAATAGCAGAGCCTCTCCCTCTGTTGTCATTTAACTCCTTCCTGACCCACCAAAACCCAGGAGAGTGGGGGGCACTGCACTCCCCTGCACACGTACAGCTCTTGGGGGCCCAGCCCACAGCCCTTACCTGCTTTTCCTGCTCCAAACCAAGGAGGGAAGGCAGCAGGGAAGGACAGGGTTGGGTATCCTGAGAGCAGTGAAGCTGCATGTAGGAGATATTTCTCTACAGTGGGCCTGAGCTGTCCCCTCAGCAATTAAAACAGCCACAATTAGCATCTTTTCATGGAAACGGTACCTCAGCTTTGCCATTTCTGTGTGTGACAAAACGTTGTTATCTCCCCTGGAGGGATTCAACTCCATTAAAATGGTCGTGGTGTATGTTTGAGGATCTTCAGCTGCAGGAGGAGAGGATATTGCTCCCTCTCCCTCTTCCCCAGCTTCTGAGTTATCTGCAAGGATTGGGGATTTGCAGCACGATCACACATCAGCAAAGCAGTTTCACTAAGTCTACACTGTTCTCATACTGAGCTTGGAAATGCTGCAGTGCAGGGTCTGGAGAAGGCAGTAATTATAAACAACTGGAGCCAAACCTTATAGAAAATAACTGGAAAAGAAGAATAATACTCAGGTGGTGGAAAAAACCAGTGAGTGAACTGCAATGAACTGAACCTACAGCAAAATTCTCCTGGAGACAAGAGCTGAGAGAAACAGTGACCAAGTGTCCAGTGACAGTTCTCTGAAAGGAGTTTGATGTCCTTGAGTCAGAGCCCAGTTCCAAACCAGAACTGCAACGGGGGCAAAAATCAAGACCAACCTCTTGGGTCCACTGTGTGGAAGGGACACAGACAACTATCAGCAAAGAGCTGCAGGGGCAAGGAAAGGGAGAAGCCCCAAGAAGCCCTTATTTCTCTGTTTTCCATCATAGTTCTCTGGGTTTTTTCCCCTACTACCCTGCTCTGTTTTCATTCACTCCTATAGACCTGATCTATGGGAGCAGAGAGGAAAGGAGGAGAACCTGCACCCTCACATCAGAGGCTGAGACAAGAAAATCTTTAATCATGCCACAGCCCTTTGAACATTTATATTTTCCAGCCAAAGGCACTGTGAAATTGGGAGCTTTCAGTTCAAACTAGTTCAAGGATGTTTTCCTCAGGGAAGGTTTTGGTTACCCCATGGGGATTTCTGCCCAGATCTTTGCTCTTAGGGTAAGCAACCAAAGCTTTTCTTACAGAAAGAAGCTACATCTTACACTCCTTGGAAAAAAAAGGGGACAAATAAGCGCCCAGAAGAACTAGGGCACAAAATTGCTGCCCTAGAGACTGGGGTTAAAAGGCTGCAGATCTGCACTCAGTGATGATTGCAGTAAAGCAGATGTCACCAAACACAAGTGCAAATAGTTCCCTGAGTTTGGAGATTTTTTTTTTTTCCCCCACAAAAAAGAGTTCCTGCACTTCAAGAGAGCAGCAATAGAACAGCAGGATGTTTGTCAAGGAAGTGTTAACATGCTAAAAGGATTCCAGCCCTTTGCAGTTGTGACCTGACACGGTGAGAAAGAAAAGAGGAGAGATTTGAGTGCTAATAAAAACAACAGGCGTGGTTTTAGATTATACCAACATTTACCAGTTGGGGCTTGTATGGCCTCCAAAACCAGTCCTAGATTTGGGATAGATTCCCCACTAATAATTCTGAGAACAAAGACATGTTGACATGTGTAAGTCACCTAACCACCATCCAGTGTGTGTGATGTGTCGACCAGCAGGTTTAAATCAGAGATGAATTTGTTGCTAATTACAGCAGATTAACCTAAGAAAATGGAACCCCAATCAAAGCAACGAAGTTAAGCTTTATTTCAATTAATTTCCCTATCTAATTGCAGCTCCAGCCTGACCCTTTTTTTGTATGACTCACTGGGCACTTGGTTTCAGTCAGCTTTGCCAGCACCTGCCAGTCTGGTGACAGACCATTCCCTGTTAAAATAAATGCCTGGCAGATACCAGACGAGTGACCACAGGAGCTTGGGCACAGCTCCAGGGTAACTGCCATCCTGTGCATTAGGGTACAGCTCATCCTGCCCCACTTGGGTGGGAAAGATGCTCTGAAATGGCTTTTTCCAGCTCTGATTTTCAGAAGACTGAACTGACCACAGCTCCCTGCAAGGCTGCCATGACATAAACTACCTTCTTCTGGGTACTATTTTTCAATTTCATGTCTGCAAATAAAATTATTGATTCTCCCATTTCGTTTCACGTTGGTCCTGAAGGCAAAAAAGTGCATTACCACTATTCCTTTCAGAATGTGACTTTTTAGGAAGATCTTGAATTCTTTTCTCCTTTTCCCTCAAGTATCGATCCCTTTCTAATGACAAACTTACGCTGAAGCTGTGAATTCATTTCAGTATTTTTCTTATTAGAAGAGAGGGACAGAACAAAGTTATCATAAAAACGTATGACAGAACTGTCTTTCAAAGACCTGTCATAAAAAGCTCTCCTTTATCTTGCTGCTGTTCACGGGGAAAGACATCTGGGATTAACTGCCCTTGTCTCTGGAAAACACTTCAGCATTTCTGAATTTGTAAAAGTACTTTCTGCTCACACACACTGTAATAGGTGGGAAAGCTCCCTGTGCTGGGATGAAGCCATGTGCCTTTCCTTCCTCAGCCCTTACACATTTGGACTTTGGGCTTTTGGGATCACGGGGGCCTCAGCTTTCCAAAGGCCTGGTCAGGTTTGCACTATTGCCCCTTATCAGTGCCAGCACCTGGGAGAAGAGATTTAAAGCTGCAGAACCTGCAGCACAGTCAGGTCCCGTTCCTGCACAGAGCTCGTGGAAAAAGAGAGAATTCAGATTTCCCTGATCACGGCTTTGAAAAGGGCTCTGCAGAAACACCTCTTTTTCTCCTCCTACAGGAACTCACCCATCCTTCCTCACAGTCACACGTGTCACGCAGTCCTGTCATGTGCCACCACTGTTGGACAACGCTCTCAGAAACGTGGTGGGATTTTGGGGTTGTCCTGTGCAGGGCCAGGGGTTGGACTCGATGATCCTTGTGGGCCCCTTCTAACCCGGGGGTGGGGAAGGAGGTCGGAACCTCTGTCCGGCAGCGCCGCTCCCCGGCCGGGCGGCACGGGCGGGTGGACCAGTGAGGGCAGCCGCCCTCCTGCAGGGACTTCCGGTTGGCGTCACGGCGGGGCCGCCCATCAGTGGGCGTCCGGGCGGAAGTGCCTCGTCCCCGGCACTTCCGGCGGTGGCCATGGTGACGGCGGCGGAGGCCAGGTCGGGCCGGGGGGGACAGGAGGGAACAAGAGGGGACAGAGGGGGACAGGAGACACCCGGGAGCGGCCCTGTGAGGGGTGGGAGTCTGGGAAATGCTGGAGAAGTTGGGAGAACGCGGCCCTGGGACCTCTGCTCCCCAGTACAGAGTTCATCGCTGTTACCGCCATTAAATATATAATTATAGATAATTATATGTTATCAATATATATGGGAGATACTCAGCCAGCTCTCTTGTTCTCAAGTTGTTTTAGGCGATTCTTGATTTGGTAAATGTCTGCTAAATAGTTTCTTTGGCATGACAAATGTTTTTTTTTTTAATTTTGTAATCGTGCCACTTTTGTTTCCGTCCCAAACACCAATTGAGGATTTCCGAGTGGACCCTGTGCCAGGGCCTCAGCACCCTCACAGGGGAGATTACTGGCTTGACACCCATTCAGAGTGTGCACTGTAACATCAGTATATGCCCCCAAATTAATTACAGTAATAGAGAATTACAGCTGATTTACAAATTGCCTTTTTATTTTTTTTTTTTCCATCCAGAGCATGGAAAGACCAGCACTGGTCCTTATGGATGCTCTGAAATCGTTTGGTACTAGAAACAATCAGAGGGTCACTGTGAGTTTTGTCTCATTTTGAACTCACTTCTGTCTTTTCAATCTGGGGGTTAAATTTCTCCCTCCCTCCTTCCCCATTGGAAAGGTCACAGCCCGTATTCCCGAGGTTTGTTTTTAGAGGCAGCTCTTGGCTGAGCTGGCATTGGACACAGCACATTTGCTTGGATCTCTGCCACTTCCAAATTTAAGTGGGGGCTGTTACGGGACCGGAGGGAGACACCAACCCAGAGCCACTGCAAGTGAGCTCTTTTCTAAGGTAGGACATTGTGCTTTCTGCAGACTAAAGCCACTAATCAAGCCTAGAGCTGCTGTGCTTCTCCCTTAGGAAAACCAGATCTTTTTTCCCCCCCATTTCCTTTTATCCCCCCCGGATTTGGATTTGGGACTGAAGCACCCCAGTTGCTGCCACTCGTCACGTAAAGGACAATGTGATTCTGGGAGCCTGAAGCTACAAAAGAGGTGTTTTTTGGGGGAAGCTCTCAGGGGTTTGGTTTCTTTTAGGACTTGATCTCATCTTTGCTGCCTGTGGTGGTTTGAAAAACCTTTTCTCTGAGGTAGTAATGGTTTGCCCCACTGATAAGTGAACCCTCGACCTTATTAACTAATCCTTGTTCCTTGAGAAACCATTGTTCTGGCTTTCATAGGATAACATCCAATTTTTGTTTTAAGGGAAGAGTTTTGGGTTTTTCTTGTTTTGTTGTTGTTGTTGTTGTTTTTTTAAATTGGATTATTGTGATTCATTTTATGGGAAGCCTTCAAAAAGTTTCCAGTCACCTGTATTTGGTCACATTATCAGTGTTATTATTTCTGCTCTCTAATAACTTGCATGTTCCAATCCTGCCTTTTTGGATGGAGAACTGGGAATTACAGGACTTGATTTGAACCTGTTAATGAGCAGTGGCTTCTCTCCTGCTGAAAACTTGGTGTCATAAACATTACCTGTTAATAACAGGGGTTTTTTCAGTGTGAATACCCAAATTTTTGAACAAAGGTGACAGTGGGGTCTCAGACCTTTGAGCAGGAGGTGTGAGACACCCAGTTCATCTCAGACTGGCTACAGAAATTCTTCTTTCCAAAATAATCTATTCAGCTGGGTTCTCCTCTCCCTCATCTCTGAGTGAACTGAGATTTTCTTTGTTCTGGGGCTCTTTTAAGGGACCATTTGAGCACCTTCCTTGGAAGAAGGTGCTGCATCCATGTGCCCTAATGGAAAGGGATCCAAATCTCTGATTGGCAAATCCTTCTCTCTCTTGCTCCACTCCTTTCTCTCCCCCATCCCACATTTCCCCTCCCCAGAGTTTACTGGTTACCTGTTGATTCAAACTCCAGCCTGGAAGCTGCCAAAGCAGGTTGCTGCTGCTGACTGGGTTCTTGGCTTGCTGCAGCCCTCAGGCAGAGATGGATAATCTGCCCAGTTCCTGTCTATAATATGGAGAAAAAGGGGAAAAAAAAGAAAATAAAAACAATAGAAGACCTGGAAATATTTTGCAGATCAAAAAGAATTAAAGGCAGAGCTTTTTTTGTTTAGAAACTAACTAAATAATAATTGTTTTAAGTTAACCAGGCACAAGTAGTCCATACTGAGGAGCAATGGATGGCATGTGTCTAAAATATGGCTTTTATTTGGTAGGTTTGGGGGCTCTTTTCCACAGTGACAGAGAGTTCAGGCCTTGCAAAGTCAACCTTTATTTTTACCAAAGACATGCTGTAATCAAACAAGGAACTCCCTCCCATCTCCCAGTGTGATTTAATTAGGAAAGGTGTCAGGAAAGCCCCCCTTTCCCAGTTACCTTCTCACCTGCATTTCATTCAAATCAGAAGCAACCTGGTCAGAGCCAGATTTTTCCAGTGGCTCCACTTCAGCCTGTGCTCAGGAAGTGCCACTGCACCTGTCAGCTCCCACTCTGGGAATAATGGAAGGGCCTAAATGGGGGCTGGAGATTTTTGATTCCAAAATGTCCTGTCAGCCCAGTGGCAGCACAGCACCTGTTGTCCCTGCCCACATCTCGTCCTCTGAATTTCAGGAGACCTTTGAGAAGCAACAAAAAGGCAGCTGCTTTCAGTGACCAGCTGAACCTTCTGATCCAGCCTAAAGAGGCCAGTGGCCTTGTGTCTAAACAAGAATTATTTTAGGGAAGATCTGCTCTCTTACGTTAAATCAACTCTACCAGTCCCTGGCTGTAAACCAGTACAAGACACACCCTGTGTGCACTCCCTCAGCACAGAGGTGGAGGAATAAGATGCTTTGCCAGTTGCCTGAGTTCACTCCTCCTTTTGGGTTTCTGATTTCCCACTCTGGGCACATTCCCTGTGCCCGGGGAGCCGGTGCCCTGGATGTCTCCCTGCATGATGCACAGTGGATCACACAAGGAAGTGCTCTGTGGACACACGAGTTAGCTCAGGAGTGGGAAGCTCCAAAGGACCTCGAGAAGAGTTGTGTACCAACTTGATGGTTTTTATTTTGAGATCTTGTCAAGTTTATTTAGAGCTGTCTCGGTGTTATATTATTGTGTTCCAGCTGTACCTCCAGAAATATTTACTTTATTCAGTTCACTGCTGTTTCAGAAAGTTAGCCTGTTCATTAACAGCTACTTGAGGAATTCTCTCCAGGCCCCTGATGGACATCCAGAAAGCCTGATATTTTCCACATTAGCTCTGTTCCATGGCATGTAGAGCCTCTGCCATCCCCTCAGCTCCATACAAGCTCAGTGTCACTCAGTGACACTAAATTCTGGCTTAGCATTGCAGTTACCTCTTGTTTTCTGCTTCTTGTGCCTTTTGTTTGAAGTAGTGCAAGTTTTTTGCCCAGAACTTTCCAGTATCTTCCTAGTAAAGATCTGTCTTGCAGTTTGAACTGCAAGAGTTCAAAGTCTGTCTGCACAAGGACGAGGAAGGGAAGATACACTGAGATTTGGTTTTGACTTTATGTGTGACCCAGAAGTGGTACAGATTCCAGGAAGGGGTTCTCATTGACTTCACTCTGACATCAAGCTTTAATAAAAGTTTGGGGGTAAATACAGTGGGGAAATCAGTGGCCTTTTCACAGCAGAAGTCTCACTTGCTCTTTGGCTGTAACAAAAACTACTCCCTTGAAGGAATGGCTTAGCAAGGAGATTAGGGCTATGCCTTGGTATCAGAATCCAAGTCCAGGATGAGATTTCAGTGTGTTAAGCAAATAATTTGCTCAGAGAGAAAACCTGGAGCCTCCAGAATACAGACTGGTTTATATCCATCTGGGATAATACACAGTAACTGATCTCTGGCTTGTAGGTACTGTGGTACTGGCTGTTCTAGAGAAATCTGAGAGGTTTTATTACAATCAGAAGAATGTGGAGACATATCCCAGCTCTGAGGAACTTTCACTCTAAATACACTTTGTACAAGAGGGTGAATCCAGAGCAAAACATGGGAACAGCATCTCTGAACCCAAGTTGTTACATGACAGCTGACAGGATCCAATGCCAAGTGTCCTGCTGAGATGTCCAGATTAGCATTTAAATGCTTAAAATTGGGTGCTGATGTGAACTTTCCAAAGTCTAAATGCAGGGATGAGGAAATCTGTTGATGATACCTCTGTATGGGATTACTTTTTGTTGGTCCAAGGCAGGGTTAAGAAAAATAATCCCCCTTGTTTTCCAGCCTCTGCTAATTTTCTTCACGGTGCAGTGATCTGTTTCCTTTCATCCTGTGGCTCTAGGAAGACTGTTCAGAAAGGAAGATTCATGGATTTCACAAGCACAGTCATCATCCCGCTGCTTTTTGGCAGCCTGGGGATCTTCGGCCTTTTCCGGTTCCTGCAGTGGATGCGGATGCGAGCGTACCTGCAGGAGGCAGTGGTGGTGATCACAGGGGCCACCTCTGGCCTGGGAAAAGGTATGGACCCAAAGGAGGGCACCAAGGGCAGACAGGCAGAGGGTTCTGGAAGGGGCAGCTATTGGAATAAAGCAGTGATGAGCAGAAAGTTCCTTTGCTCCAAGTTTTGAGAGGCATGGCTTGCACTCCCACGTCAGTTGTAACTACAGCCAGTGCAGATTTTGATGCAAGAAAGTCTGATCTGTGAAGGAAAATTTTAATCATCCTGTATAAAGTGGAGCTCATCAAAGGAAAGAATGAGATACACTGTTCTTGTGCTGTCAGGGGTCTTTTCCCTAAATCCTGAAAAAGCCAGAAGCAAAATTGTTTCTCTAAAACTTCCCCAAACTGGTGTTCTGCATTCATGTTGTACTCCCAGCTACTTTGCCAATCTTTCTACTCCCCACTGTGCTGGATGACACACACAAGGTAACTGTGGTCCCTCTTGAGAAGGGCATAAAGTCAAAAATGAAGAGACACAGGCAAATTCAACCAGCTGATGGGGAGGGTGTGTAAACAGCACAATAACTGCATAACCAGCACAGTAACTGTGAGCACAGCAGCTGCCTCACCACTATCATGTGTCTGTCACACTCACAGGAGGGTGGCACGTGGCTGTGACCTTGCTGTAAATCAGCCTGACCATTACTCAGGAGCCATAAAGCCACCTCAGACCCCTGCCAGCTAACAGGGGTTTTACTTATCACCAGCTTTGATGTGGATCTGCTGTTTGTTATTCAAATGCTTACTTTGCTCTCTTCCTTGCTTCCTCCAAAGAATGTGCCAAAGCTTTCCATGCAGCTGGCTCCAAGGTGGTGCTGTGTGGCAGAGACAGTGAGAAGCTCAAGGAGCTGGTGCAGGAACTTTCTGCTGTGAAGAATCACCGGAAGAAGGTGAGTGTGGGAGGAGGACAGGCTTCTGTGTGGTTGGGATTTCTGCTCGTGGTGTTAACAGAGGTTACAGAACTGCCTGTGACTTGTTCTGTTGAGCAATAGGAAAAATGCAACTCTCTGCTTAGGGATAGATGTTGATATAGGAGTACATTGAGCTGGCGTGTCATTTCTTGTAAAAACCCTACAAAAATAAGGCATCTGAAAGGCTTCTTGGCTAGAAATGGAAGGGAAAGCATGGGAGTGCAATGCCCAGACTCCTTGCACCTGTATGTCATATACTGAACCTGAAAAAGTGACTTCTACTGGCTTTTAGTTTTAATGTCTAGTTCTGCTGACAGTGGCAAAAAAAGGTATTGCTGGCTTCTGTAGAAAACACATGGGCTAAGTTTTGACTTTTTCAGATGCACTGTCTTTAATAAGACAACAGGAGACTTCAGTACTTGAAGATCTCCCTTGCCCCTTTCCTGGGCTCGGGTAGAAGGAAGGAGCAGACAAAGGCAAGAGCACAACCTGCTTCTGTCATGTGTTCCTGCCATATGGAACTGCAGCACAAGGTCTGGATGGCCCTGCTCCTGTGCTTCCAGAGCTGCGAAATCCCATCATGAGTGTAAACAACCAGCACAGCCTCAACTGGTATTTTGCTAACTTTGATTTATTCGCAGACACACAAACCCCACACTGTGGTATTTGACCTCTCGGACACCAAAGCTGTGCTAAAGGGTGCTGAGGAGATCCTGAAGCACTTGGGTCACGTGGACATACTGATCAACAACGCAGGCATCAGCTTCCGAGGCACAATCGTGGACACGGGACTGGATGTGGATAAGAAAGTGATGGAAACAAATTATTTTGGACCTGTAGCCCTCACCAAAGGTACCTGTGATCCACGTGGATTTGGCTGAGGTCCCTGCACTCCAGCACAGCTAAGCACAGCTTAACTTGTGTTTGTGATTGTACCTGGTGCAGTGCAGCCTGACAGGGGTGGGTGGAAGGTTTTGGGTTTACGGACAGGCCTAAGGAGGTGCTTGGGCAAGACTGTGTGGGAAGTGCCTGATTAGAGATGATTCCTTGTTCCATCTCCTGACTCCAGGCTGGCAGGAATTTGGGAAGAGATCCAATTCACTTCAGCATCTCTAAACACTCTGAAAGCTTTGATTCTTGACAGCAGCAATGGCAGGACTGTTGTCTGAATGAGTCTTTTCTGTCCTTTGCTAGCACTTCTCCCCTCCATGATCAAGAGGAGACAAGGCCACATTGTGGCCATCAGCAGCGTTCAAGGCAAAATAAGCATTCCTTTCAGATCTGCATGTAAGTACCTCCACAGAAGATGGGAAAGACATATTTGGGGCACCAGGCTGAATAAATACTTGGCTCCTGCTTCCACATTTAGCTCTCCATGGAGCTGGCTGCGTGCAGGGAAGGCAGAGCTGTGCATCACCCTCAGTGTGGTCACAAATCACTGAGAGAAGATGAGGAAGGTACTCTCAAATACAAAACCTGAGTCCTATCTCGAAGTTGTTAAGGGATGGAGAAGGACAATATGTTTTCAGTGTCCTGAAAACACCTTGATAATCCTATTTTAACACTTGAATGTCCCTATAAATCCATAATTTTATTGCATTTTATCCTTGCTGTTTGCTTGGGTAATCTCCAGTAAGAAAGTAGGAACCTTTTGTTTCAGTAATTTATGAAGTGCCCTAGTAAAACCAATGCCAAAATAAAAGCCTAAACAGTCATCTTGATCCAGCAAATGGTTCATGTTAAATCAGCTACAACAAGAAATAACATTGGAGAGATTACTGGAAAAAGCCTCTTAAAAGATGGATGAACCAAGAGTAGAGTGTTTGGCACACAAGCACCTGTAAATCGCTGAAAATAAACACTGAAAGGACAGTGGTGGTGGCATAAGATGGGTCAGGCACAATGCTGAGTGGAGGAGAGCCTGGAATGTCTGAGCCATGGGGTCTTGCAGGTGATGTGGGTGTGACTGCTCCAGGAATTGTGTTCTGAAGAGCCTTTGCCTGGGTCCTCACAGGGTGTGCAGCCCATGCTGAGCTCGTGCTGCTGGGGTCAGCCCTGCAGCCATGGTGAGGTGGTGGCAGTGACCATGGATATGGGAAGGGAGCAAGGAAACGGAGTCACTCAGCCATTTAACAGGGGGAAATCCTGCCCTAGGCCACACTTCCCTGCTCCTGCCTGCTTGTGAGATCTGGTTTTGACTCGTGTGCAGCCAAGCTCTGAACCTGCTCTGCAAGCCCCCAAGTGCTCAGCACCGTGCAGGGACTGCCAGCTCTGCCCTCCCCAGACAGAGCCTGTCTGACCAACACTTCCCAAGCCAGGCTTTGGGTCTCCTTTATCAGGAGTGGGAGGCAGCCTGGGTTCACTCTGGAGTGCTTTGGCAGGGCTGTGATAGTAAGCTCAGGATCCCAGCCAGTTTTCAACTTGAGTTTACATTTTGCCTTCCTAAATTGCCTCTCACTCCCACTACCTACCTGTTGCTGCCATTCACTAAACAAAAACAAACGTAGAAGCTGGAGAACAGCTGCTGGGTTCTTGCTGAGAAGTGGCTGCATTGCAGTGTTAAAAAGCCATTTGGGCAGTGAATATTCCTTCAGCCCTGCTCCCTCTCTTTGGTGCACAGCCCTTTCCCTGTTTTTCAGATGCTGCCTCTAAGCACGCTACCCAGGCCTTCTTTGACTGCCTGCGAGCAGAGGTGGAGCAGTATGACATTGATGTGACAGTTGTGAGCCCTGGATACATCCAGACAAACCTCTCTCTCAACGCTATCACAGCAGATGGATCTCGCTATGGAGGTGAGATATGATTTGGTGCCCTATTTGTAAAGCATCTCCACCTCACCACCAGGTTGCTACAAGGTGTGCTTGCAACACATGGCCTCTGGTGGGGACACAGGTTAGTTCTGAAGGATCAGAAAGCAACTTGGGATGCAGGGTAGGAACAGTAACCTCCAAAACTGAACCTTCCTAGACAGCAACTACTGGCCCGACCATGAGTTACGCCTGCCTGTGCTCCCCCACACAACTGGAGTAAAAGCCAATACAAGCAGCCATGTACAGTTAGAGCATTCCTAGGAATGGTACCTAAGTGTGGGTTTACCTGCTGATACTGGTGCTCACTGGGCTTTCCCTTGGCAGTTATGGACAAGACCACGGCCCAGGGACAGACGGCGGCCGAGGTGGCTCAGGTGGTTCTCAATGCAGTGGGACAGAGGAAGAAGGAAGTGCTCGTGGCTGGCCTGACTCCCTTCCTGGCTGTCTACCTGAGGAACCTCTGCCCCAGGGTCTTCTTCACCTTAATGGCATCTAGAGCAAAAAAGGAGAGAAAAGCAAAGGACTCTTAGACTGCCTGAGCAGTACCTGCAGGGACAGGCTGAGTCCCTGCAGTTGCCTGGGACATCACTGGAGGTACTCCTGCAGGAAAAACCTTTCTCAAAATACTGAAGTTTACTATTGCATGGAGAGTGGGAAGTGGTTTCCCCCATACTGGTGGAAGAAAGCACCTAAACCTCACCTGGAGAAGGAAGGGTGCTTGGACAACGGGGGAGAGCTGAGGCTGCAGGGGAGGGTGACTCAAGGGAACACTCTGCAGCCAGGGAGGCCCCTGTGCTGGAACACAGCACCTCACCTCACTCCAGGCATGCTCAGATCTACTGGGCTGCTACAAATAAAACCCACCTGTTTTGCCTTCACACAAGCAGATCTTGGCTTTCCCCACGCCATGGCCCCTGTGAAATACAGTCCTTGGCTCTAGTGATCAGTGTCTCCTTCCCACTCCTTCCAATCCGATCCAGAACATGCTGCTTGAAGTGGGAAACTGCACAGAGCTTCTGCTTGTTAACATGCCAGGTCATCTGACACGGTAAGTTCAAGTCCAGTGCCACTTTTAAAGAAGTCACTGATGTACAATTGAAGTATATTTGGCCATCATTTTACCTGTCTGAACCGTGTCTTGCTGATGTACGGGGACATTTAACTCTGCACTGGCAGCACAGTATGAACCCCAAGCACCAGAGAATGCAGGAAAGCACTGAACAGATAGAACAGCACAGCAAGTCACAGCAAGGTGACAGCAGCACACCTGGCCCAGCTGCAGGCCTGGAGCACAGAGCAGGTGTGATCCCGTGGATGCCAGGCCCTGTCTCCTGGATGCAGAGGAGAACCTGTGTGTGTAGGATGCACAGTCTAGCAGACAGACCCTTAGTTCTCATTGCTTCAAAGCAATCACAGATGCTAATTAGGATCACATCCAGTGGGGAATGATACCTGCCTGTTCACTCATCACAGGCTTCAGGGGGTGCCATATTCCATTCTTCACCTGTTCTCATGTGAGAGATACCAGCACTAGGAAAAAGGAATTGCTGCACAGAGAGTTCAGTAAGGACAGAAATAATCTTTTTAAACTTGTAATTAAAATAAAACCGACTAGTAGGAAAACCAAGGTCCAGACCCCTGTTGCCACCTCCATGCACTTGCCAGCATTTTCCATGTCCTGCCTCGTAAGTCTCGACTGTGAGTGCTCATCTGATGACAAATAAATTACATTGCTATGAAATGAATCCTTTGGTCTACTCCAGCTCCTCACAGGAGTTAACGTTAGAGGAAGGGAAAGCAGGAGGGTTTTGTTTTTCTTTTCTTATATCCCTCACAAAAAAAATGCCAGGATCACAGAGGTTTGGTGAAGAAAAGGAACTAAAGGCCCTGAGAATCATTCTGCATTGAGTAAAAAAGAGCAGGAATGCATTTCATGTGGCCAGCACAGGGTATTTCAGGGCCTTCTGCAGCAATAAGTAATAGTAGCTATGGCAGATGTGCCACCAGCTTCAAATCCATCCAGTAGACAGGACTTTGGAAACCTGTCAGGATGGAAGGGCAGCCTGCCCAGCCTGGCCTAACCACAGAAAGAAAAAGTAGTTGCATTTCTTCCCCTCCTCTCTGCCAAGGCAACTGTACATTGTTGCTATAAATAGACACTCTGGATCCCAGCTTCTTTTAACCTTGGAGGGAGAGAGCTCAGCCACTGTACAAAGGGCTGTTGCCTCCCAGAAAGGTCTCTGTGCCACTGGAGTTTCCTCCAGCCCCCAGGCCCGCTCAGGTACAGCTGCCTGTGCAGGTGCTAAAGGCTGAGAACTCCCAGCAGCCCCAGCCTGCCCAGCACACACAGACAGGCTGTGTGTCCTGCTCACACAAAAGCTGCCTCAGCAGAAAAGCACAAGTCACCACTGCAGATGCTGGAGGCAAGGACAGGGGGAGTTCTTGGTGCCTGCTGTGGAAATTTGGAGAGATACAGACAGAAGAACTCCGTTTGGTGTCTGACCTTGTGAGAGGCCCTGCCAAGGCCGGTGTTTCAGCCGTGGAGGTCAGGCTGCAGCTACCACTGGAGCAGGGAGCACACCTGTGCACAGGCAGCTTTTACTGCAGGCTTTGCTCTTGTATCCCGATCCCAACACCTGAAGCTGTGCCAAGCTGGCCCTGCAAACGCCAGCCACGCCCATTTTCCATCTGGTAGGAAGAGATTAGAGGCAGCCAGTCCCTATCTTTTAGAAGTAACAGGCAGACCTCGCAAAACAGTAAATACTTCCCAAGCTAGGAACAAGATTTTGAGTTTAGAGCTAAAAGATGCATTAATGCACACGACTGAATTCTACAGTTTCATGTAATGCATTTACAAGATGCAGTCACCCAGATGCCTTGCAGCAGGAGCAGGCAGCTCCAGAAGCACGTGTTCCAGGCAAGAGCAGTGGAATTGCACAGTCAGCACACAGCACAAAGGTAGGACAGGTGGACTCCTACCTCGTGGTACAAGGCATTTCAGTGGAGATGTATCCACCTTAACAAGAACGGAGCAGAACGTGTTTGTAGCTGGAAACTTACTGTGTGCAGAGGAGTCATGGTTGGAGGTGGCAGGGCAGCAGAGAACTGGGGCACCTTTACCCCCAGCCATCAATGTTTAAGCAATTACCAAAAAGGTATCAACCTGAGGTAACAAATAAGGCTCCTCCAGGAAACACAAGCAAGAGGGAAAGCAACATCCTACAGTTGTTCCTTCAGCAGATGGCTGCTGTGAGGTAACATGGACACTGCTGCCATGTGCAATGGACAAGAGGAGTGTCAGGTCTGTGTGTGACCAGGCATTAATAATTATCACCACTGCAACTCTCAGAGCAAAGCCTCCACCCCCAGGAAGCACAAGAGCAAAGGGAACTGTGATAACAGTGACAAGAGAGCAAAAGCATTTGAAATTCTCATCCTTTAATGGTCAATGATAACTTCTGGCTGGTTCTGTGTAATACAATTAAACAATATACTTAATTGTTTCAAAAAAAAAAAAAAAAAAAAAAAAAAGCAGCTCTCACACCCCCTCTTTCTATTGCTTTATTTCATCCACATTCCGCTGCTGGATTGGACTCCCCTGGCCTAACATACGGATCTCAAGTCACCACACATCCACATCTCAAGTGTAACGAAGAACTGAAAAACCTTGGTGCACCAGTGATTTGTTATTTGAAAAATAACAGCTCTATTAAACCAAATCCTTCCCAGTCTCCACTGCTTCTCAAAGAGGAAAAACAAAATGTTACTGTGGGAGTCTTAATACACTTGTCTTTGTGGGTTTCTCTCTTCCCTGCTGAAGTCATACAGCATAGAGTTCATAGATCTTCTTTACACAGTACACCAGGGCAGCGAGTGCTATCGTGTTGTGCAGTCTCTTTCTGTGCAGGTCGTCCTTCCTCACCAGCACCACGGGGGTGGACGAGGTGAGCGTATGCAGGGGCAGGCGGGAGAGTTTATAGGCATCGTACTCGACTTGGTACTTGCAGCAGGGATCAAACTGCCACGAGATCCCGTAGAGGGTGCAGCAGGCCACGCTCAGCACTCCAGCGGGCAGGGAGATGTAGTGAGAATAATCTACTGGAAGTGCCAGGGGGGTGAAGAGGCAGGTGGTGCCCGCCAGCACGGCCGTCTTGTGCAGGCAGTTCCCGACAGTGATCCATCGGGCCGTCTCGTCCCCGATGCGCGTGGGCTCTATCACGATGTACTTGTACTGCGCTTCCAGGGCCTGCTCCAGCTCATACTCAAACTGGTCCTGAGCATTCTCCCCGTTGTAGATCTCGTGCACAATGTAACAGTCCGTGGAGGACAAGGTGACCCTGTTAACGGGAAACTCGGAATTAAAACGACAGAGCTTAAGGACGGACTGTTCACCCACCCGGCTCTGAGAGCAGCAGAGAAGTGCCCCAAGAGAGGGCAGCCCCTCAAGGTCAGGCACTGCCTGTGTTCCACAACCAGCAGCTCTTTCAACTCAAGCTTCATTTCACATCAGCTCATTACACCTACTGTACAATAATTCATCCCAAAATAAGGCAACATATTTTTCTTACCTTTTCCTGACTTGGGGGATATAAAGCAATTTGAGAAATAGGATCTTGTTAACAGTCCTGAAATGGTTCCTCACACTGATACCCAAGCAGTTTCTCTGGAGACAGTGGAAGTGTCACTCACACCTTAGTGACCACAACACCCCACTGAACAAACCACACAGACTTCAGGAGTTTTCATAGAAAATAAACCCAGCAGCTCATCCATTGAGAGGACAAACTGCATTGGAAGGTTTTGAGAGAGGAAGCATCTCTAGATGAATACATTTGCTTTCACCCCACAATAGTTACCTCCTCGCCACTGATGAAGCTTGATATTTAGTCCTCCATAGTAAACCCAACCTAGTAAATCCATAGCAAATCCAACAAGGATGGCCCAGATACATTGCTGAAACAAGGTGAGGAAGGCAGCAGAGCACTCTGTTGCAGAACACTCCCTTCTCCTGACGTAGGATGCAGCAAAGCAAGAAAGGAACATTTTTAACCCAGACACGCTTTAGCAGTGAAGAAAGAGCTGCTCGTGTTACCTGGGAGCACATTCCCTACTGACAGGGGATTCACAGGACTTGTATTGGAGCAGCAGCTTTTAACTACCTCAAGTTATATCAGTTTCCACCTTCCCTTCACCCTCCACCACATCACCACAGCTGCAGCCACATTCATGTACAGACTGCTAAGAAATAGGATTATGACTGCTCACCTGCCCTGAGAAAGGGTAAAAACCTATCCATTAGAACACAGCAAAATCCTCCCTTCTAAGCAGAAATGACTATTTCTGACATACTTGTGTTTAACCAGAGCAAAACTGAGCACGTGGCCTCTCGAGGATAAAAAT